CTGCCTATTGTTTTTTTTTTTTCTGTCCTAAACACTATATATTCCTCAAGGGTTAGGACTAAACCTTAAAGTCCTATTCGTATCCTGCAAATCTCCTTTTATGTAATAGCTATTTGTGTATAAATCTGTAATTTGTTTGCTATGATTTTCATTACAGAAATGGTAAAGAAATCCTTAAACACACCGTATTTGACAATTTATAATACAAAGTTGTTTGCTGACTACTACCTAGCTCTCTTTCCTTTTGGACAAAAATCCAAATTTCCTCTGGATTCTTCTTAGACAATATCTTCTATGATCCTGATTCTACTTCCAGCTCCAAGCACAGGAAATGACTGGTTTATTCCATCTTTAAGTAGCATTTCTCCCCATTAAATAGCACCAAGGAGACATGAGACATTTTCTGTGATTTCTAAGAAAGAAAATTTTGTTATCCATGGTAGCTACCTCTTGGATGATATGATGTGAGGTATGGAACAATTGCTACCATTTTTTTTTTTTACTAAAAGGAGAGTGCTTAGAGCTACTGGAAGCTGTTCATTGGAAGGTAAGTATGAAGGCTATAGTGGCTGAAGCTAAAGCAGAGCCATGGACAGATCAAGGTCCTTGGTGGTATCATCTAAACTGCTGAAGTAAATCTTTCTTAAAGTCAAATCTTCCTTTGAATTTTTCAGCTATAAGAACTGATAATATTCATCTATGTATGTGTATAAAGTCAACTGAAAATAGACCTCAGTAAAAAAACAAGAGTGGAAATAAAAGAGGGAGGAGTGGAGAATGGGACTGGGAATGGGAGTGGGAGGAGGAGGAGGGGAGAATGTATGGTGGGAAGAATCACTATATTCCTAAAGTTGTACTTAGGAAATGCATGAAGTTTGTATTCCTTAAATAAAAGATTTCTTTGGGAAAAAAAACTGATAACATTGATTTATTGTTCAAGCCAATGTAAGCTGAGTTTTTTGAAACTTCACTCAAAAGTTTCCTAACTGATACAACACAGAACTTCATGAAGCCAGAATACTGGGGTAGTATAAAGTTTCTTGTTTTATATAGCAAACAAATTAAAAATTAGGTAGGGATCCAAATACTTATTAAAGTATATTCTAGAATCATTGATAAGAATTATTATTTGGGTCAGAACTCCAAATCTTTGTTTAGAAATAATTAGTTTTGTTTTTAGAGGTATTTTAGAATATTCCTGGTTAAGAATTCCAATTATTCCATGCTCTTCTGAAGACTAACAAACTCTCCATTAAAAACTTCATTTGTGATGTTGATTACACATACTAGAATTTAGTGTGCTGCTTAGTGGACAATTCAACTCAATAATATTGCACAATATTAGTTTTTCCTTCCAATTATATTTCTATACTTCACATGTCATTTTCCCATTAGGCGTATAATAAGCTACATTTTCATATATTAAAATTGTGTTTATTAATGGTTTTTATACAAGGTCGTCTTAGATTTCTAGCCCATTTGTAAGAAGTTCCTATTAAGAAATTCAATGAAGCATAGGAACAAGGCAAGAGTAATTTATTAACATATCAAGAGGCTTTAATTTGCTAACATTTTCCTATCATGCTAGTGTGACAGAATATAAAGAACAAATTGCTAAAGCATGGAATACAGTCGAACTGGAAGAAAAAGCTATCTGTCTTTTAAGAGCTCATGAGTTCAACTGTTCACAACATGAGGAATCCATGCTTGCAAGAGTAAAGTTTGTATTTCTGTTGCCTAGTTTACTTGGGATCCATCTGTTTACTCCTACTATTTACTTAACACTGTTTAATTTTGAAGAGCACAGGTGAATAACAAAAGGGAAAACTGTGCCAAAGGAAATAAATATTAGACAGATCAGCTTAGAAAACTTGAAGAAGGTTTACATCTTCTAATTACTTAGAAAGTGACCTAAACGTTAAATGTATCCTATCTTTCCTATGTGGATAAACTACAAATCTGTGATTATTAGTAAATATTATACCAGATGCCTTCTATAAACCTATAATCATAATAATAAACTTTCTCTGGTTGGGTTAGCATTTCAAGAACACTTGAATTCAAATGTCTTACAGCAGGTGAGCATGCAGTGCCCAGGGTGGTGCAGTCTCCACTGTACCTGCGTCATGAAGGCTGCCACATCTATTTCTGGTCACTGAGTTTTCATCTTTGCTCTTGACTGAACTCCTTCCAGGAGGACCCTGACTACATGTGTTTTATTCACTCCTGGACACTCTTCCATCCAGTACAGTGCTTGACGTGTAGTCAGTGTGTGATAAATATTCATTGACTGGATGATTGAAAGAACCAATAAATAAATGAAGGAAAAAAAGAAACCTTGGGCTTATAAGTTTATTTTCACCATGATATCCCAGTTAATTTCAAGAAAAGAGAATTCTTTTAAAAAAAAAAAAGAATCTAAAATAGCCAATGTGGTAGTCAGCTTATAATGTTTTACTACAGCAGATTGTGCTACTTGAGAATCAATATTCTAATTTTTAGAGTATATATATATATACATATATACTGACTTCTGTTTAATATTTAATAGATAGTTATTCAGCTAATGTTAAGTCATATGCAGACAAGAGTTGGTTAAGGCACTAAACAGTTTTTACCCTCACATTGATGAGTTCATATGGTTTTGTTTTACATCCAAAAATTATACCTCAACTTTGGCAAGTTATACTGTTCAAACATTCTATTTCCAATTACAACTGTAGTAGCATAAATTTATCATCATCTTTTGAAAAAGATACCAAGGTTTTGAAAAAGATATCAAGGTATAGGCCTTTATCAGTGATTCAGTACAATATTATCATTATGTAGACCACATTAGTGAATACTGATGTGCCAAGCACTGTTCTAGGTTCTTTATGCTTACCACTTCATCAACTCATACATCAACCCTATTATTACTGTCCCCATTACAGGCAAGTAAATGAAAGCAAAGAGAAATTAAATAACCTTATTTAAGGCCCCACAGCTAGTAAGTTGCAGAATTAGAGTATAAACTCAGTCTAGCTCATGAGTTCTTGTTTCTAACAACTACTTACTGCCTCTCGTGTAGAATTCCAATAAAACCTAGAGACTTACTTAATTTTGTGGAGATTGATCTAATTATTCAGGTAATATAAAACTAGATTTGTTCCTATGGATTAAAATGCTCCTATTTACCTGAGCCCGAAAAATGACTTGCACATGGTAAATGGTTAAAGATTTTTGTTCAGTTGAATTATACTGGAAAAATTACTGTATCTGCAAGCATATTAGAATTCAGTTGCTAATTTTTTTTGGAACCAGCTCTGTGACTCAGTAAGGTATCAGCTAACTGATCTCTTAGACCCCCTTTAGCATCTATGATAACATAATTAAAATTAGCAATGAGCTAGTTACTAAGATTTGGTAAAGAATTTATACAAAATCAAATAACTAGAGAAAAACACATGGTAATGTAGAAAAATTAGTATATGGACTTTAAAAACAGGTTAAGATATATTCCATGTATAATGACAATAGCTAATATTTATGAAGTTTCTCTGTGCCAAGTACTGTACTACATTCTTTAAATGCACACGACACTTGATCTCTACAACTGTCCAAGGTAGGATAGTAGTAGTATTCTCATATTACAGATGGGTTAAGAGAAACTGGTTTTAGGCCACACAGCTAGAAAGTAGTGGAATACAGAACTTCACTGTGGGTAGGGCTAGCTTTCAAAGGAAAGCTTTAAAAAGGCAGGAGAAGGCATGCTGAGTGTAAAAACATCTGTGGAATTAATTTTAAATTGGCTGCAATGTTTCCCTAATTTTCAGAGGTTATATTGCCCTTTTCCATGAACTCCTGAAAGCTGCCCCTCCCTAAATCATATTAATACATACATACCTTTTAACCTTCTGTGGACTGCTAAATAAGACAACTAAGTATGATAGAAAATTGAGGTGAATTCAAAGTGAATGGACTCAGGTTTTGCCATGGCTAAAGTAAATAAACATCAGGGCCAGGCTCTATCATCAGCATATGCTAAAGAGTAGCTTTTTGGGCTTAGCTCCTAATTCTTCACTGTATTTCAAATAGTTTAGAACCCCACTTAATAGGTGTCCTCTGGACAAATAAGGTAAACTAATTAAAATTTCATTTTTTATTTTCTTTTTTTTTAATTTTTTTTTTTTTGACAGGCAGAGTGGACAGTGAGAGAGAGAGACAAAGAGAAAGGTCTTCCTTTGCCGTTGGTTCACCCTCCAATGGCTGCTGCAGCCGGTGCGCTCCAGCCGGCGCACCACGCTGATTTTATGGCAGGAGCCAGGTACTTATCCTGGTCTCCCATGGGGTGCAGGGCCCAAGTACTTGGGCCATCCTCCACTGCACTCCCTGGCCACAGCAGAGAGCTGGCCTGGAAGAGGGGCAACCGAGACAGAATCCGGCGCCCTGACTGGGACTAGAACCTGGTGTGCCGGTGCCGCTAGGCGGAGGATTAGCCTAGTGAGCCGCGGTGCCGGCCTCATTTTTTATTTTCTATACAGTTGTGTATTCTATTCTTGTCATTTTCTGGGTTGTATATTTTCTCATGTGTCTAAACAGAGCCCTGTTACACTTAATTTAATTTTCTTTTCAGTATGAAAATGCCCACTGTCTGGGCATTTTATTTCTAAGATGATGTGCCTTATTACCTAAAAAATGTATCACAGAAATTATTTTCCATTATATTTTGAACTAATTTTAGGTTTCTTACCTTGACTTTTTAAAGTCTATAATACCTGAGCCAGCTGCCTCTACCTCTATTCTTTCTCAAATACACATTTCATTTCACCCAGGCCAGTACTAATCTCTCATCTTGTAGCTTAAGTCCTGTGCTGCCAATGGGTGACACAGCCACTGACTACAAAACAAGAGAGTTAAGTTTACTTTCTTACAAACAGTAGTTGGATCTATATACTGACAGAAAAGCTTTCAGATTCCAGACTGATGAAGAAAACTCACTCATAATATTGAGATAATACCTTTGAGAGATCCCTGAAATTTCCTGGAAGAGTCAGGTCCAATTCTTCTGATTCATAATTTGTTAACACCCACGGAAACACAGGATATTGGTTCAGATCATTATATGTCCGTCCTAGAAAAAAAAAAGATATGAAAATTTATGTATAGTAATTTCTCATTAAACGGTTTTTGTTCTTATAATAGATAATTCCTGAACTTCAGAGAGAAAATAGCTCTTTTGTTTATTGAACTACATCTTTGTTTAATCAGAACCACTTGGATAACAATGTTTCAAGTGAATTCACTCAATAATTGAAAGAGTAACTAGAATTACAATTTATAAGATTGTGATAGAGAACACTGCTGGTGATCATAATTTATTCCCGTCTTCCTAGGTCAGACCACATCTCAGTCTCCCTGACAAGCATCTCTTGCCTTGGGATTCATTTGTAATCTACAGAACAGAGGCAGGGGTGATATGTGCCACTCTGAGGGTTAGCCCACCATAGCTTCCCACAGGTGACTTGATAAAGATCATAGTGTGACCTTAGAGGCAGTCTTGTTGACCAAGGTCCCTGAAAGTGACCACAGGGGAGGCCATCCTGCTGTTCTGAACACTTGCAGTTTATTACTAGTATAATGAATCTTTATTTAGAAAGTATATTCCCAGTACACAGAATAACAATATTAAGCAGATAACAAGAATCAGTGTAGAGAATGTGCAGGTAAACAGAAGTACTCTGAAGGACAAAAAAGTATAGGGTCAGATTATCAACCACAATTTTCCCCATTCCTTTAAGTTCATGATATTTTTTGTAATATGTTGCTTCCTTTCAATGAAGAAGTGCTATACCTTACATTGGGTTTGTCAGGTTTTTTTTTTTTTTTGGTAGAATTAATAAATTTTTCAGATAGGATATTGAAGCACAATGGGAATGTGGTGAGTTTAGGGGAGCACAGCACTGCCCAGCCATTAACTGACACTGAAATAACATGATCAGATGAAATTAAGAGAATCACTATTAAAAAAAAAGTCTAAATAACTTTTGCTGGACATAATTTTTTTTTTTGCAAGAATGTCTTATGCTCTGATTATGGGTATATTTCCAAATTTCCATTCATATTCACACAAAATGACTATTTCACTGGTACTCCGTGATAAAAATTTCATTTGGCATGCCTTGGTGCACACACCACCTAAATACCCTAACAGTAACATACACATGTAGACATTATCTTGTATATGATCAGGAAGCAACATTAAAGGATATCTATTATTTCAGCTACTGGAAAATGTGATTGTGAAAAAGAAAAATAAGCCAATCTGAGTAAGAACTAAATCCACTAATATAAACAAACATTGATTAAAATATATGAATTCATTCAGCAAATATTTATTGGTCAGATATTTTTTCTTTTTATTACATGAAGTTTTGTATTCTACAACTAAATTACACATTGTTTGTAACTTGATGGGGGGTATGTCTACAATCTGTTGGTAGCTGCTGGGAAGCAGAGTGGTTCTTCCACTTTGCATTTGCTGGGTGAGGTCTTCCCTTTTGTTCTCCCGAAACAGCACTGGTACTGACCTCTATTTAGCCTAATACATGCCATTGTTCACTTTTCTGCCTCTCATCTAGTCTGTAAACTCATGAATCCATGGGCTGGGTTGTATTGTTTTATAAAAAATCTCTGTATATTGGTATATACTGTCTGTCCAGTAAGTATCTGCTGATAGAATGAATATACATAGGATAGAAATGGAATGAAACAAGATTCATTTTTAAAGATAAGCAAAGAGAAACCAAGTAAAGAAGGAAAACTGCAGAGCATTTCTTCAAACTATAAGGATTATGCAAAGGCAAAGATGGATATATGAGACATAATAGCATCATGGATGTGCACATGTAACTAGAGCTTATGGTACCAGTTCCATTCTAATAAACAAACTTTATAAATAAATGTAATACAGTTAAAACTTGTTTTAGTGAGAATGTCCATATGAATCCTGCAACATGGACAACCAATATAATATTTTTGCTTTGTTTTAAAAACGTGCAATGTGTTCAATGTCACATAGAAAAATCAGAATGAATAACTGGTACTTTGGGATTTTGCATTTATAAGTTTTACCCACAAATTAGCATTATTCCTTTAATTATTTTTTACTGAATACCTATGTGATATGAAAAATATTTCTAAATTATCCAAAGAAATACCTTTTCGGTGTTCTGGCACATCTAGATATTTATTTACCAATTGTTTTTTCTTTAGGGTACTTAAAATGTAGTAAGTACATTTGTGCTCTAACTAGTAGGGCTCCTTTTTCCAGCAGTGGTTAAGTTCTGAGTGTGTGTGTATGTATGCACACATCTGTGTGTGTGTGTGTGTGTGTACATATATATATATATATGGGTTCATCGTAGAAGATGAATATTAAATATTGCAAGCCTATGACACTCATCTACTCAAACAATAAAAGTGAAGCACAGTAAATGAGATCTCAGAGTTTCTTCATTTAAAAAAAAACCTTTTTAATTAAACCATCCAATTTAATGTTTTTATATGGCACTTTAGTTTTGAAAGTAACGTGATCTAGAGACAGCTGACAAAGAAATTATAACTGCAATTCCTTGGTGAAAATGTTAATGACAGCAAAATATTGTTTAATTAGATGATTGCAGCATCTGGATTAACACTCTTTAAGAGCGATGTTCCTGTGCTTGTCTGCTTCTTCACACTTTACAGACATTTTGTCATCTCTAGGTCATTAGGAAAGAATTTTTAATGATTTTTCTAGAAGCAAGCAGTTCAAGTTACATCTAATTAGATGACAATAATAAGCCCAACACATGCAGTAGCTAAATATATACATAATTAACCAGGGAGGGCTTGTTCATCACAGAGTAAAAAAGTGGAAAATGCTAAACAGGAAAAAGAAAAGGTTGGGGTTGGGGAAGTTGTGTGGAATTCATTAGGTGATTATATGAAAAACAACTCAAAAACCTTAGAAAAAAATCTCAAGTCTAACTGGATCATTTACACAAGGCTACGTTAGCAATCATTTTGCTATTTTTTAAAATGCAAGAGTTCCAGATTTTAACATCTTTTTCCTAGTATTATCTAATAAGGTGTAAAATGAAGCATAGGTGGAATCTTTCAGAACACAATGAATAGAAATTTAGTCAACTCTGGGAATTAGAGGCTGAATCCACAGTTTTAGACTCATTCTCATCATCATTAAAATGCTTTCACATAATATCCCAAAACATGTTATTTGAAAAAAATCCCAAGTGTTTCAAAAATATTAAATAAATTATGTCATAGTTCTATGTTGGCATAATTCCCTCACGGTTTTCTAATGAGGCTTTAACAAATCATGCATTAATGGGGTAGGTACTTGGCATAGCAGTCCTGCTTGGGATGTCCCCATCCCCTGTGAGATGGCCTGAGTTCCATCACTGGCTCTACTTCCAATTCCTGCTTCCTGTTAACGCGCACCCTGGAGGCAGCAGTGATGACTCAAGTACTAGGGTCCCTGCCACCCATGTGTAAGATCTCCATTGAGTTTCTGGCTTCTGGCTTTGGCCTGGCCCAGTCCCGGCTGTTGCAGTTATTTGGGGAGTAAGCCAGCAGATGGGAGATCTCTCTTTTTCTCTCTCTTTCTCTTTGCATTTCAAACAAAATGAAAACAAAAAAAATTTAAGAAATAAAACAGAATAAGAATCATGCCTTTAAAGAATATTTCATGAAATGGAAAAAGTCGAATATGAACCTGCATGTGTAGCAGGTTCTTGATGATCCACGACACATAGAAAATGAAAAATAGGGTCCGGAGCTGAGCCGTAGCAGGTAAAGCCACTGCCTGCAGTGCCGGCATCCCATATGAGCGCCGGTTCAAGTCCTGACTGCTCCACTTCCAATCCAGCTCTCTGCTATGGCCTGGGAAAGCAGTAGAAGATGGCCCAAGTCCTTTGGCACCTGCACCTGCATGGGAGACTGGGAAAAAGCTCCTGGCTCCTGGCTTCGGATTGGTGCAGCTCCGGCTGTTGTGGCCATTTGGGGAGTGAACTAGCAGATAGAAGACCTCTCTCTCTCTCTGCCTCTCCTTCTCTCTATATACAATAACTCTGACTTTCAAATAAATACTCTTTTAAAAAAAAAGAAAAAATAGAAAAATCATCAAAACTTCCATTGGAATATTTGTAATTAGAGTGACTTATATTTTGAAATTATAATTTTCCACATTCTCAATTTCTCTATTGTATTTATTTTATAAACAGAATGAGACAAAGACTATGAACACATTTATAGGCTTTTGGATACATATCTTTTAAAAACAATATGTTTTGTGAATATTTAATAAACAGATATATAAAGTATCTGTGTTTATATGCAATTATGTGTGTATATGTATATATCACAAGAATATTTTATAAGTCTCCACTATGCATAACACTAGGACCTTGCTACCATAACCTTTACAGGGAGTTTACTTTTGAAAGCATCTGGAAATGAGAAAACTAAAACTGGTCAAGTATGAGAGATTTTAAGAAACAGAGAGCAAGAAATATGCCATAAACTGTACTTTATACTTCACAATAAAATAATATTTGGGAGAAAGAACAAATCTGAGAGCATAAAAGAGAAATAAGGGGCCAGCACTGTGGTGTAGCAAGTCAAGCTGCTGCGTGTGGCGCAGGCACCCCACATGGGTGAGAGTTTGAGACCTGGTTGCTCCAATTCTGATCCAGCTCTCTGCTAATGCACCTGGGAAAAGCAGCAGAAGGTAGTCCAAGTGCTTGGGTCCCTGAACCCATGTGGCTCCTGGTTCCTGGCTTTGACTCTGCCCAGCTCTGGTCATTGCAGCCATTTCAGAGAGTAAACCAGCAGATGGAAGATCTCTCTGTCACTCCGTCAAATAAGTATTTTTAAAAATTAAAACAACAAAATATAGAAAAAGTGAAATTTATAGTCACACTGATCATATCTTCTCTAACATGAAGTCAGAAAAGATTGCTTCATCTTCTCAACCGCATTGCAATTTTGTAACTTTTCTTTTTTGTTCAGGAAATTCAGTCCCTCATCTAGGGGCTGGTGTTGCAGCATAGTGGGTTTGGCCACCACCTGCAA